GGCTTTGTAGCTCTGTCTGCTCATTCCCTCCGTAGCCATGAACCTCTTCAGACTGACAGGAGACCTCTCTCATCTGGCTGCTATCATCATTCTGCTGCTCAAAATATGGAAAAGCAGGTCGTGTGCAGGTGAGCCCAAACATTTTTTAGCAGTTGCCCTTCAGTGCTTTTCTCCTTACGTCATTTGGTTCTGCTTGTCTTTGCTTCCAGAATTATCTCGTTTCAACGTCTCGTATTATTCAGAAATCTGAATGCTAGTTAGCTTCAGACGCTAACGTCTTCTTCTCATTCATTTGAGAGAGTGGCTAAAAGTAGCCACCGAGCTCACTGCCGCCAGCAATTTTCCTCCCTGGCCAGGAATTCTCATACTTTGCTTTGTACATCAGCTTATATTACGTTTACGAGGCCTTGAAGGTTAAATATGAGTGTTAAACATGTCAAAACATTGCCTAGCTTCTGCTAACTCTGCGGGGGTTGTAAACCTGAGTTACTTTTCGGACTGTAGGAATGTGGTCAGCTGCTGCTTAGTGGAGAAATGATCAAAGTAACAGTTTTCTAAAAAATATTTCCCGTTATTATACACAGTTTAGCAAAGAGGTTTTGTCTGCTCTACCCACCCCTCATCCGGTGATCCTGCCCTGTTAATTTCGGGTTTTGGACTCGACTTTTTTGGTCTGGCTTCTGACGTGGCGTTCTGGAACAAGCTACGGAAGTAGCTAACCTGCAAAAATCTGCTTAAATTTCTCCACAACAGACCAGACCAGCCCTTTATAGCGTGTTTATTTTAAAAATGTCGTAATATCTGATTTATCCTCTGGAATCACACCTAGATTGTATAGTTTTGATTCCCATTGAGCCATTAAACCGCTATAACTGACCCAGAGTTGGCTAAGATTATTGCTAAACTCGATTTTTCCTTTTGGCCCTAGACACCTTATTTTGCTAGCTCTCTAATAAGGGATATTGCAAGATAATGCATGCTTCTTGAAGATGCTCAATGTTTCTCAAAGAGAAAATAACAACATTGATTGTGGTGAAAACCAAAGTGACAGATATTGAGAAAAAAAAAAGCACAAATAACTTTAAAGTGTGTCAGAGTATGGTAGAAGTAATAAGTTATGCAGCTTTGGCTCATGCACTAGTTTTTTTTGCAGCTGTTTAGAGTGATCCACCCAAAATGAGTAGGATTGTCATATTCTGCATGCTAACTTTGATGCTTCAAGATTGAGATAGGCGATGTTCTTCTTTTGCTTCAAATCCAATCACAACACCACTCTGCCCAGAGACTTACCTGACAGGTGTTTGGTTTCAGTTAAAAATAACTGGGAAGCTGTGTAGCCTGGTCCTATTTTGCCTGGAGGCATCCTTTAAATGTTGGCTCATATATTCAAAGAAACTCAAGAAGAATTGGGTACAGATATATCATATTTTTGACACGTTTTTAATAAATGACTTGCTGAAAATTGGATTTGGTATAGGAAGTCCTGAAAATAAATCCAAAAGGATGAGGGATATTTTAACAAGCCTAAAAAAAAAACTATATTGATGTCCAGTAGAGGTCGCTGTCCTATTAAGAAAGTATGGATTATTCAGCCTATGAAGCTCAGAACTCTTTGATGGACACTTAACATAGACTTTACATTGCTATTTGTTTTGTTAAAGGTATCTCTGGAAAGAGCCAAATTCTGTTTGCCATCGTGTTCACCACACGCTACTTGGATCTGCTCACCTCTTTCATCTCGCTGTATAACACGTGCATGAAGGTAAGACACCCGTCACATCTCAGTCGTGACCTGCAGCTTTTGGTCTCTTTTCCTCACTGAGCAGCTGTTCTGTTTCCCAGGTGATCTACATCGGCTGTGCCTATGCAACCGTCTACCTGATCTATATGAAGTTCCGAGCCACCTACGACGGCAACCACGACAGTTTTAGGGTGGAGTTCTTGGTTGTTCCTGTTGGGGGTCTAGCGGTTCTCATTAATCACGACTTCTCTCTGTTGGAGGTGAGCTTCAGCCTTTGGTGTTTTTTCGAAATTATAAATTAACGGTCAGTAAGAGAATATAAGGTCTTCTGCATGTCTCTTCAGATCCTTTGGACATTCTCCATCTACCTGGAGTCCGTGGCAATCCTGCCTCAGCTTTTTATGATCAGCAAGACTGGGGAGGCTGAGACCATCACCACCCACTACCTGTTCTGCCTGGGCCTTTATCGCGCCCTGTATCTCTTCAACTGGATCTGGCGTTTCTACTTTGAGGGCTTTTTTGACTTGATCGCCATTGTGGCCGGTGTGGTCCAGACTGTCCTCTACTGTGACTTCTTCTACCTTTATGTGACCAAAGGTGGGTTCCCTGCTTTATATGATCTACAAACGCTATACCCCAACTGAGAAAAACATAAGGAAAAAGTTGGCCTTTTTATAAAAAAAAAGAAAAAAAAAAAGTTTTTAATACACATGAACTGTGAACTTCAGTTCCTACTAGAACTGTTTTTTCTAATGGAGTATAAGAGCCTGGGGGGGATGGGTTTTTGATAAAGCTTATGATGCTACATTCACAAGCCCATTTGTTTAGCATTTCAGATGTCTTTTACGTCATTCATTGATAGGACCATTTGTTTTATCCACATGGTTCTGAAACCGACCCTTACAAGAATAACACTGAGGTAATGGATGGTAAGTCAGCTGTCTTTGGTCCCTGAAAAGGCTCCCTATAAAGTTCAGCGTGAGATCTCAATATCCTGAATGAAGTAATTATTCTCCAAAGTTATGGTCTTTTAAGACAAATTTCCCTCCCCACGCTGCCATCCTTCCACAGTACCACAGAAACTGAATGCTGTCCCTGGAAGACATAAAAGAAATATTATTCCAGGAGACTGTAAATTCAAAGTTTTCAGATCTTTAACTGACTTACAATCAGTTGCCTGTGGGCAGTTGAAACATTTCTCGTTCATTACATTCTGTTTAATCGCGTCATATTTCCTCTAAAAGCCGCAGTTACTCCCATTGTGCAGCAGCCCATAAGTTTCCCAAGAGAAGATTGGAAGTTTGGGTTTCTCCATGTTGTCTCCATAGTGCACAACTTTTATAAAACAGTTTAAAGAAACATGCTCAGAAGTTTGGTGTTAGTTGCTTAAAGCATGTTCTTAAGAACCCATAAATGTATTTTCACGTCTCAGTCGAGTAAATGATCCATTATGTTCCTTAGTGACAACTTTAAAAAAGGATCGTATGATTGTAAAGTGGCCAAATATAAGTTCATCTTTGCAAACAGCCCGGTGACAGCTGCTCTTCTCGCCCTGCAGTGTTGAAAGGCAAGAAGCTGAGCCTGCCAGCGTAACACCAACCAGAGGAGATGGCAGCTCGCAGCAGACTCAGGGGAGCGTGGAGATGACATCCTGGAATCTCAAAAGATATAGCAATGGATTCCTGAGACAACTTTCAAGGGGGAAAAAAACACTAGTCTTCTTGATGATTACTGATGGAACTGGTAAATGCCAACAAACACCGGAGCTGAACAAAGACCATCCCAGATCAACTTTAGGATTTCTCTGCTCAGCATCTTGCCTTAATCTTTTTTTTCATTGGTGTTCCAAAATAGGAGAAAAACATTTTTTTTTTCTATATGTGAGGTGTATACGCTTGTTTTTTCTTTTTATTATTATTTTTTATAATGTCACTGATAGGGATGACTGAGTACCCTGTATGACTCGGTAGGAAAATGCACAAAGTATACAGTCTTATTAAAAAGATCACAAATAATGTATCCGAGTGCCTGATAACATGTAACAGTAAAACGTTCTCTTTGTCAGAAAATGTTTAAACAGGCCATCAGCACGCTTAGTTTTTGTACAAATGTTGTTTTCTTAAAAGCTAAACTAAACATTTTAACAGGTTAGTGTTAAAAAAATATCTAAACCTTTTGTTAAGGGGGACTCTAACCTTCAGAAGTGAACTCTTAAAGAAAATTGCTTAAATGCCAGAATTCATGTTGCCGCATTGGTATTTTCTAATGGAATCCAACTTTAGATGTGTTTATCAGTCTTTTTTCCTGCTCATTGTATTTTACAGAAAAGAGCTTCGGATAATCACAAAATGATGCTTTGAGTGTAGACAGATTTTGTCGCACCCCAGTAACACACTGCTGAACAGCCCCCACTGGTTGAGCTCCGCGCTGTGACGTCTGAAACCAGGGAGAGAGGAGGTAGAAGCATTGGGTCCCTGTTACAGTTCAACTTTAAACTGTATATCTGGAGGGAGCATTTGGACACATTTCATCTTCTCTGATTGTCACTGAATCATTTCTTTGTGTGGGATGTTGTTCAACGGGTGCATTTCTACAAAATTTTAATTCCCCTTAACTTTTTCTTTCCTGAAATAGTCATTCCCAAGAGAACATTTAACTTTTCAATTTTTTTTTTCTTGCATGATATCACCTCCATTAAAGATTTTATGAAAATCACCCCTTAGTGGTGTCTTTTTAATTTCTGGAAACATCCGTTACACAACATGGATCAATTTTCACTTGTGGGTCTTTGTTTAGGTCTTACTTTGTGGTTTTAAATTCCTCGTGTTCTTATATAGAAAACAAAAACTGTTTTTACACAGAACCGCATAAGTTTGGTCAACATTTAAAATGAGGCTTATCAGAGTCCAGACATGGACCAAGATGTTCTAAAGTTCCATCGTTTGGCATCCTTTAGTAAACGTGTATATTTCTACAGGGAAATCCCAATGTTGTTCTCATTCACATATTCTTTCTTTTGCTACGTGGCTAAATGTGTCAAAACGTGTGACTGAAAATCAGCCCGTTAAGACGTGGATTTAAAAGTATTTTCAGAGAGCCTTTCGGCTCTAATAAAGTGCCGTTCAACAAAGACAGAGAAGCAGAGCCAGCCTGTTAGACTTTAGAGAGGCCAAGTCCATCGGTCAAAAAGTAGGAAAGCACAGTTCAACTATGCTAAAAGGCCTTGAAGCCAACGTGACAAATTTTCAATTTGGCAAAAACATTTTAGTATCCAGGATTTGAAAAAGGAGGTGGGGGTAACTCAGAGACCAGTCAGGCCAGTGAAATTGGATCTCTGCTGTTTACAGATGTTATTACCTGCTCCCAGCTGAATTTAGAGAGAACTTTCTGCACTGTTTCAATGCACATGTATAAGGACTCAAAACATTCAAGAGAAAGCAGCCCAAAGAGCTTAAGGCGAAGTGATGGAATTTTCTACTGACCGAGTCCGTCACCTGACTTCAGCACAAGTCGTTGTACTATGTGCATACTGAAGGCAGTAAGCCTCAAATTAGCTAAATTAAGCCGTGAAAACAACTAAAAATGCTCATCCATGTCCACTGTGGCCCTCCTCAGAAGCAGTATCGCAACGGCTGCTGCCGACAGACACGTCACCATCTCACCACAACGTGGAGGGAGCCTATCACAGCCCTGCAAAGGTCAGAAACGACCAGTCACACAGGCCTCAGCATGCAAAACTCAGACGCACCCTCACACAGGAATACAAACTGAGTAAATAAAAAGAATACGCCAGAGCAATAAAAGTTCTAGGGAGAATTTATTGAAATGATTAAGTCACAACAAATGTAAAACTCTGAGCAACACAGGACATTGCAGTCAGTTTTTGTCCACAAATTCAAGACAGCTGTCAATGAAACATGAAAGTTTATGACTTATAAATACATAATCCGTTAAGGATAAGAGCGTGGCTTATTTAAACAAAGAGTCAAGTCTTAAGCGGCACAACGCTGAGTTAGTGTTTTCAATCTTTCCAGTGATGATTTAGTGACATTTAATCCCCCAGCCATAATATAGTATTCATTTTGTTTAAGTTCTTAATGATAAAATCTTTTCTGACATACCCATCCTCCACCCCACTCACATGTACGCTTGTTTCATTCATGTACAACTGTGTCTATGATTATAGCGTTGACTTATTTTTTCTTCCTTCATAGAATGTCTCCCTCTGTTCCTCAAGATATTAAAAAACAAACCAACTGTAAGACTCACTATTTAATCCATCTTTCAGCACCTCAGTAAATATTAACGCAGCCTCTCCGATAAGCTCAGTTATAGTTGGCACCCCTTAGCAGTCACACTGTGTTTAATCACCACATCCTGTTGCCGTTCCAAACAGATACAGTGGGTCCATTTTCATCATTCCAAATATCATAAAGGTAAAGAATAATATTGGATGAAAAAGTTTGTCTGGATGAAGACTTCCGTGTCG